GTTCTTGGCTCTGAAGGCGGGTGTGCATTACGGACGTGTAAACTAAACAAATCTTGCGATGATACTGAAAAACAAACACATCAAGATACAGTTTTATGAGGAAAAACACCATAAACTTCACCCTGGTGCCAACAAATTCCCACAAAGCTTTTTAGTAATCACTTGGTGAAAGTGTTAGCTAACGGCAGTGTGTAGCATACTCTCCTCTCATTGGTCAGTCAATGAAACCCTCGTTGATTGGTTGTACGCTAAACGACAGCGACAAAAGTTGAACATTTTTCAACTTTCATATGTCGGGTCGCAAGCTCGCGTGTGCACGTCTACGTGTACGAGTGTGAAATTTCACATGCACTATTTTCGCCGGTCGCTTAGCTGGAGGAGGGCAAGCGATTGTCGCCYCACYGCACAGACTCCATAGGAAATGAATGGAGAGYGAGMGACGTCGCCTCCCGTGTGTCGAGCCCTTTAGTTGTTTTCAAGAGTTTTCACTTCAAAGAAATTAGTTAAACTGATTCCCAGGTACCGGATATTGGTACCGCATCATCAAATGGCAAAGGAACCCATCCCTATTTGTATCCAACAAAAAGTTGAATGAAGCAAAAAYATTTGATAAGTTGAATGGTACAACATCGCTTCAGGACTTTATCTGGCCTGGGAGACATCCGCACGCTGCAAACCCAAACCAGATGGAGACAGAATGACCACAGTTTGCAGCATGAGGTAGTTGTGTGTATAACCTAATATCCTAATGACCCAATCTAAGAAAGTACTTTCCRTGGTAGGGACCACAAGGATGCCAACCCTCTCCAGAAAAGTCACACACTTGAATAATTGATTCTCCTAATATACTTGAGYAGGGGGTCATGTTTTGTGCTCCAGTCGATCGGATTACCTGTGATGACGTTGATGTCGGGGTACATGCTTTCACACAGCTCCACAGCATGACTGTCTCTCTCGAACGCTTCCCGTAGCTCTTTCTTCACCGCAGCAGAGCCGCACAGACGGTAGAGACCCACCACCTGAAGACACACACGCACAAACCCTTTTTACAAACTCTTCATCTGCATTCCAATAAAGTGCTGAATAAGATGCTAATGTATCTTCACAAATACCAAATGTATTTGGGACTAGATCAATAAAAATCTCACATCTTCTAGTTTAGATCGAAGACATGTCCTCGTTTGACTCATAATAACAAAAAAAATTTTTTTACAAACACCCACTGTACAGCATGATCCACAACCCACTCTGGTAACACTTAATAATGACTACACCTTATTTAGCCTTACTTAATCATTAATAAATGTTTAGTTAACTTTGAAGTCATTATTATGACCCCCCGCACTGTTTTCATACTGTGGTTTTTTTTTTTCCCAGTGATTTTTGGTCAACCATAGCACAAAAACAGCTGCATCGATCAGCGTAAAATTTGGCCAGAATGTAGATGTGTCCAATCTACACTGCACCAGCCAACGGTCTTATGATAGACCCCATATTTGAGGAGGGGGCTCCATCTGACAAGGGGGTGTCTGCACATACAAAAATCCTTATAACTCAAAAACAACATAGGAGCTTCAGATTTTATTTATTTGTTTATTTATTTATTTATTTTGTTTAGCTCTAATGGCTATTCATCGGTCCCACCAATGAAGCCCCCCACCCCCAAAAACAAATTCAATAAAAATAAAATAAAGTAAAATAAAACTTTGGGATGCACCTAGCAGCATGAAATTTGGCAGGAATGTAGATGTGTCAGACCTACACTGCACCAGCCAACGGTTTTATGATAGACCCCATATTTGAGGAGGGGGCTCCATCTGACAAGGGGGTGTCTGGACATACAAAAATCCTTATAACTCAAAAACAACATAGGAGCTTCAGATTTTATTTATTTGTTTATTTTGTTTAGCTCTAATGGCTATTCATCTGTCCCACCAATGAAGCCCCCCCCCACACCCCAAAAAAAATTTTTTTTTGATTAAATTCAAGTAATAAAAATAAAATAAAGTAAAATAAAACTTTGGGATGCACCTAATAGCATGAAATTTGGCAGGAATGTAGATGTCAGACCTACAC